TCATCAGACCGTGTTCAACTCTCTCCATGTTATACCGTCTTACTTCGGATACCTTATGCTTAATAATCAACTTCGAAAGCTCTACCAATCCTATTTTGTCTGTTGTACTTGAGGCTTTCACTGCTTTGATGCTTCTTAATGATATTTTTGGCTTCCTGAAATAGCTTGCCAGTGTCCTGTCTAACTACCGTATCCTCCAACTTCTACTGCAGCACTCCGTATTGATACTCGTCAGATTATCACTCATTGCGTCAACGCTAAGGTTGATTTTCTCTAGAAAGCCTGAGTACCTATTCTGAAGCGAGACTCTGAAATCATGTACTTTTCTCTCTCAGCGCTAGCACATTGATTGGCTTGTTTCGTATCAGTTTCTGTCGTTCCTTCTTCAAGTCTAGGCGAATTCGAGATTGTGACATTTTATGGTCACTACATCGTACCTTGCCTAGCCCTTCCACATCCTCCACGATGCCTGGGTGTACATTCAGTATGAAATACATTTTGTTCTTATTATGGCTCCTCCATGTCCACTTACGGTTCCCTCGTTTCCGGTAAAAGGTATTGAAAATCCGTGAATTATTGCATTTCGCGAATTGTACTAGTAGCTCCCTTCTGGCACTTCTAGTACCTATGCCATCATTTATTACTGCCTGGTCTCCAGCCTGCTTTTTCCCTACCTTTGCATTGAAGTATTTCATCAGTATGGTATACTGTATTTTTACCTTACTCATTGCCGATCCCATATCTTCATAGAAGCTTTCAACTGACGCATCATCATGGCTGGATGTAGGCTCGTAAGCCTGTACTACATTCTTCTTGTATATCCTATTGAGGTCAATTACTATATTTTCCATCCTTTTATTATTGCAATAGTATTCTTTGTCGCCAGCTATGTTTTTGTGGATAAGGAACCACATTCCCAGATTTTCTGTCAGCCCAGCCTCGATAGCAAATGACGTGCCCATTGTGTAGCACTGTATAGGCCTCTACTCTACTCTCTCCTAACATCACTGAGGCCTATTACATTCCATTTAACACCTTCTAGCTCCTCGAACAGTGCAGCTAGACTTGCCTCACCTAGATAAGGTTTCGAGCGTTAATTGTTCGCCGAGTTCAGGATCGAATGACCTGCCTGTCCAGATCAGAGATTCTTAGCACCCTCTGCTTCGTTGCAGATCTGACCACCACCATGGTCAATTGCTTCACAGCCGCTGCAGACTGAGGGCCGTGAGTTATTTGAGGTATTCATGTGAGGAGGTAGTGGCCAGATACTGCACCAGAGTGGCCAATCCTTCTCTGGGAAAGAGTGTGTTACCGGCGGTGGTCATCAGTGAGGCCGCACCATTGGCCTAATATTGCAGTTCTATCACAACGCAGATTTTTTTGAAATCCGGTTGGAAGCTGCGCGGCACCTGGATTCAAACCATGGGCCTCTTGCATGCGAGGCTGATGCTCTAACCACTACGCCATCGCCGCATCTCTTTTTGCCTTAATTTTTCTTAAAGTTTCTACTTTTCCTGTGTTTAAATGGATTCGTCTTTCTTAGCACTGGGGCTTTCTCTCCGAGCAACAATTTACTCAACCGTGAACCTGCATCACAAATTCACAGATTGGCATCCGCGACAGGGCGAAGCCATTAGTGGTATAGTTGATTGATATCTGGGGTTTAACGTCCCAAAACCACCATATGATTATGAGAGACGCCGTAGTGGAGGGCTCCGAAAATATAGACCACCTGGGGTTCTTTAACGTGCACCCAAATCTGAGCACATCGGCGTTAGTGGTATAGTGGTGGTAGCGGTAGGCGCATTAGGAATGTGGCAAGCGCACGAGTTAGATGATTTGTACGTTGGAGATGGGAAGTTTTTTAATGCATGTAACTCGTACATAATCAAACGATACAGAGAAAGCAAGCGAAACTAGTGCATATGTTTTACAAAAAGCATCAAAAACTCCACTTTATTTCTCTGTATCTAAATGCGACAACAAAATGGATCGAATGGTTCATATTTGCTATCGCTTAGTTCAGACTGATAATGCGCTATATAGAATTGCTGCCTGAGAGTCGCTAATGTTGTATTGAACATTCGTGAATACCAGGGATAGTGTAATGGTTCATTTCTCTTTCCGACACGCTGGTTAGGACCTAAAGTTATTTGGATTAATTTGGACGACTTTTGCTGGTCTACTTGTGTTTCTACAATTGTTGTAACCTGGATGCGTCTTTTTTGGTATATTCTGTACGAGAACCTTAAGACTAGTCTCTCTCATTACCGCCCTTCCTTTTCCTGACTATGTCGTGGTTCACTCCTTTATTGCGTAGTACATCCAGTCTAATTTTTGTTTTCATTATTCATAATTCCCTATGAGGTATTTGTCGTGCTTCTATGGGCTCACGCACGGTGTTGTAGAGTACTAAATTGAGAAAGAAATTCGTGCTTGTACTGATAGAAATTCGTAGTGCTAGTTGGTACACCTTCTTCATCCGGTTGTTAATGGTCTTTTAAGCCGAAAACCAATTGTAAATGTCTACTGTGTATGCGATCTGACTGATTCAGCTGTAGTGTATCAGCTGTGTGGTTTTGCATTCATTCATACCCATGTGATTGTTATTACATACCGAAGCTTTAGCGCACACACACGAAGACACAAATGAGAGGGACTCAAGGTACAGCGCACTGGTCCTTTTGTCTCTTTCGTCTGTGTTTTCGTAGGTGTGCGCTAAAGCTTCAGTATGCGGCAAGACCAACTCACCGACCGGTCTTTCTGTATTATAGTAGATTGGTATTATTTCATTTGAATAATCTCAACGCATTTGTTACCTTTCTTCTTGGTGACTAGTTCCAGAAGCTTGAACTGGTATACTGCAGGAATATTTGAGCGTCCATGTTGTGTACCTTATTTTACTTTTAGGCTTCATTTCTGTCATAACTATCTAAAAGCCTGAACTTCAGTGTGGGATGGTATAAAAGAAGCTTGCACTTCTCTGCAGAGCATATAAGACCTAATCACATGGTGTGTTCCTGTATGGCGTCCTGTCATGGTCGGGTGTCTTTGATATGTAGGTCAATGTTCGCAAGTAATTTTCCTGTGGTGGTGCTGGTGGCACCAAAACGGATCAAAAGGGATCACGAGTTAAGATAACGTTTAGGGGAAGGAATCAAGAGGGACGGATAGTTTGAAGGCGAAAAAAAAAACAGTTTGAAACAAAGTAGACAGATGCTAAAGTAAGGACGGTAATGAAGATGGTGTATTCCTTCAGCCACAGCTAACGCCCAGGCAAATTTTGCTTTAGCTCAGCTGGTAAGCTCTAAATTATCGTCTTTTTATTTTCTTTTTGCATTCCTTACGAGCGTACGTTTGCGTGCTCCGCCAGCTGGTACTTCGTCCTGCATATTCCTGCATGCCGCAACGTAGTGGTTGAGCATTGATAACTCAGGGCCCGTTGTTAAAAAGGCCACATCACCGCTATTGCTGACAGCTTACAACTGGTGTGACCGACAAGGTCACCGATAGTAGCACGTGAGCATGGACAGCAAACAGGCAGTGCTGCTGCAATTGATGGCTATAAAACAACGAGCCGTATTCGCTGCTTGAAAGCCAACTCCATTGTATTGATGCTTAAATTATACTTCTTGAGTAATAATATACGATGAAAAGTATGTTTAAATGAAGGCAAAATGGTAGAAGCTCGTGTACTGTGCGGTTTCAATCCGCAATAAAAAACACCAGATGGACGAAATTTCCATAGTCTACAACTAGGGCATATTTTATAATTTTGTCATGGATTTGGGACGTTAAGCTTCTAATATTTTTATCAATAAAAAGTATGCTCTAGTTGGTCGAAGTACGCACTGAAAATAGCACTTTGCTATCCCGTTGAACTTTAAGGCAAGCTTAAAAATCTCCTTAACGAAGAGCCAGAAAAGCAATATAATGCAATATAATACAATATCGTTAAAGAGCTCGTTTCGATGAAGCTTCGGCGTCGGTGTCGGTGTCATTAATTTTGAGGGAGAAAACATCGTCTTGTCCGCTGCAGAAAACTGAACCAACAGACAAATGAAAAGTAATGAAAATTTTCGTGCCCGAGTCGTGATCGCACCAATGCAGCTTGTGTGGCAAGCATGTGTTTTAGCACACAGCCGTGCGTCAACATGGAAATACATAGAAAACAACTACCTCGGTTAGAAGCGCAGCGAAATATTTCGCATGCTTTACAAACAAAAGCGCTTGGTATACAGATTTCTTAATACAACGTGTATTATCACAGTAATAATTTATGGGGCAAGCGATCTGGCGGCACAAGAAGTGATTGTCGTAATCACTTCAAGTTTTAAAGAGAGACACCGAATACGAGAAGCCGTTACTGCACGTATTCATTCAAGGCTTCGTAGTGGGTGCACAGCAAGTTAGAAAATATTTCACACGCATAAACGCTCGTGAATCACTCTATTCTGTGATTGTACGCAATACACAGAATAGAGCCACATTCGAAAGCTTACCTAGCGCAAATCATTTTTAACTTTATTGATTACATTGTAGTAATCCCCAATTTAAGCATAACGAGTCACATCGTACAATAAAAGGTGTTGCCTAAGTGGTTAAAGTACGCACTACAGATAGGGTGGCTACCACTTTCCCAATTCAAAAGCAAGCTCAAAGGTTCCCCAAGTTTTCTCTCTTTGTCTACCGACTATGAGTAAAAACGATCAGTGAAAAGTATCAGTGAAAAGAATTCTTCTCCTCCATACAACTATAGCTAAGTGACGGAGAATGCTATATCAGAAAAGTTTGAAATGGCAAAGTGCTGACCTAATTGCCATTCACTAAATATAGAGCACATGGACACAATGAAGAAACCACGACGTCACAAATGCTGTTTCTGTGGTTGTAGAGTGCCGTGCTTTTCTCTAGTATAGAAAACCCTGTCCGCAAATGTGAACGCACACATCGACAGGAGAATATGCATGCTGCGCATGCAAAAAACAAATCTCCAGACGTTTGCAACAAATCCCGCAGAAAGTTTACTGGTTTCCTCATACTTAAGTGAATATGAGTCCTAATACTCAATCACAAACTTCATAGCTGCGTTTAGAGAAACATGCGACGTTCTCCATAGCTAGGGAATGTAGACTGCCACCACTTTGGCCACCAAAGCTCCTGGGTTCTCCGAGAACAAAAACGGGCGACTCTGTGAAAGTGTTGAATCTGGAACCACTGCGAAAAAAAGTAGACAAACAATTTTCGTTGACTATAACGCATTACAAATGAGTGGCCGTGAGCAAATTTCAATATGCAATAAAGAAGATTTTTTCTGTCCTGGCCGGCATCGCGCCATCCGCAAACTACACAGCACTCTTGCTTTCTGGTTTAGTTTCACGACCTATGAACACGAAGCAGCGCACTCGTTAGTTTTCACGTATTAGCAGCGGGTATCAAAGACCAGTTTCTTACTCACTGCCTTGGCAAATCTGAAAAAAAAAACTTAGGTTGCCTAAAGACGTGGTAAGTCCGATATTGATGAGCATCTCAATTTACCGGACACACTTGGGCCCACAACGTCTGACTACCAAGGACAGAAATGTTTGTTCAATAACGCTGGTCTGCAAGTCTGCTGAGAAATCTTAAAGCAGCTCAGGCTACGCTCTGAAGTGGTTTCCAGCAAAAGACCATTTTTTTCAGATATGACAATGATTCTTTGATTCTTTAGCGAAACTTTTTGTTGTTTCATCTACAAGGACTTCCTCATCTTCATATTCTGCTTTTTCCACAGGTAGACTAACAGCAATCTCTTCTTTAAGCAGAGGTGGTACATGTCTCCATGATATGTCGATATGTGACAGACTTAGCAAAACGCAAAGCGCTGTCTTTACCCAATGTTTCTCCCATTTTCTGATCAATATGACGTCAGAGGCAGCAAATGTTGCCACAAAATATGTCCGTGTAGGTTAAATGCGCAGTGTATTAACTTAAATAAACTGTATCGCATTCAGTTCAATGGCACTTGCAGCAAAATAGCTTGCTCCAACGACGTTCGTTTTACTGCATTGGCAACGCAACTTGAGAAGAAATACTTACGTTGAAGAAATATGACATGGCTCCCTCCTGAAAAAAAAGGCGTCATTTTAGTAAAGATATCACTGGTCATTGCTACGAACATTACACGTATTGTATTTCTAGCGCGAAGCAGCTGGCAGCATACAATGCTATACGCAGGAAGGATAATTTTGCACACTACGTGCACGCAAACTAAACTTTGAAATTCAAGCACAACGCCTTCATGTCACCAGCTTTAAAATTATCACAGTGATACTGATCTAGGCAGGTGCAATTTGCAATCTACCACGCATTTTGTAAGGCTCGATAAATCAAAGATGACCAATATCTTTAAAACACACAAACACACATAAAACCTCTGCGGCCAGAATCTTTAAACGCGAGAAACCTTCGTTCGAGCGCCGACAGGAAATCAGCTGGAGGGCCAGCTAGAATTGGTGATCACTGTAAAGCTGCAGTGTAGCATTAGCGCTTGGCTAACAGGAATAAGGTGGTAGATTCACCAGCGCAAAAGGACGAAGAATTTAAAAAGAAACTTGCATACAAAGTCTCTAGAGTGTTTCGTCTTTTCGCGCTGGTGAGCGTTCCTTAGTCATGAACCAACTCGCCCTAGCTTCTGTTTTTACAAATAAGGCGCCTTCTCAACTTTGTGAATGTACAAGTTCTTCACGAAGTAAAGCCCACCTACTGACAGCAACTAGCAGCTTCTACAGAATCAGTCAGCATCTACTAAATGCAACCCAGGTAGTAGGCGCACCCTGTTCATTGAGTTGATAAGTGAATGTCTTTCTTTGAATATACAGGTTAACTTCTTTTGGAAGAGCTGCGACTCACACTACGCTGCGAAGGGTACAATGAATCTCAATTGAAGCGGAAGTTCGATGAGCAGGGATATCAACTTCACACATGTCGGGTGTTTTGCGTCAATGCATAGTTATCAATCGAGAATTCTGTGCAAATAATGCCTAACAAAGACGAAATATTATAAGTAATAGCATTTAGTACGCCTAGTATTGAACCTATTATAACACGGCAGCAAAGCCCGCCAGTTTTCAGCGCTGCGAGTGATGTCAAGCGGTCACATCTCACGGTCTCACCCCTTCTGAACACGCGGCCACAAATAATGGTGACGTGAGTTTCAGCAGACATTTCATCTGCTCGGCGCGCACGTGTATAGACATCTCTTCGCCACATCCAATTCTCGTTGCCGCTGCCATCAGTGTCTACAAGCGGTGATGAAAACACTGAGGAATATAAAGTTACGGCGATTCACGGCGTGAGCATTGATTCTGAATGCAATGCCGGACCATGCAGTGACGAGCCGGCCGGAGATGCACGCTTAGGCCACGCTGTCGCCTAAGACTTGTGAACACTGCTTGCGCGTAACTTGTTGGCGATGGCCATGGCTTCAAAACATTACATTCGGGCTCACGGCTCCCCGGCAAATCGGACAAAACGTCACAATAAAACACATGATTCACATGAACACGCGCTGCACGAACCAAGCCAAACAAAGAAAGTGAAGCCATTGCCCGGCAACCAGGAATCGCCGACAGCCGGTACTACATGTAGGCACCGCGATAACGACACTGAGATTTTTGACGTCGTCGCTGCTCGGTCATCGTCCCACAGCGCCAAAGGCACGGCCTAGGAGCTCACTGGAGACGTCATAATGCTGTCGATGTTCCATGACCGGCAACGCACCGTTGAGCCTATTGGCGCTCTTAGCGCTCGAAATAGCATAACTTCTACATGACGGGTGCAACTCATGAACCCATGCATACCAAGCAATCAAAGTAACGTCAACTATAGAGTTTGAAATTTTGTGTCACTGTTCTTTTAAGGTGCATACATATATAAATGGGAGATATATATGCTGCATGTCAGGACAAATAAAAAGTAGTGAAATCACTTTTTTTATTTTATTTCATGGTGTATTTTTTCAGCATATACTGCAGTTGTGTCAAAAAAAGTCGGGACAAAATGTTCATTTCACACAAAGCTTCTGAGTTACTTGTTTCACGGATAGAAAACCACCTGAGCTTCTTTAAAAACCGTTAACGTCATCTTCGTCATGAAGTGATCCCTGCTAATAACAGTACTACGCCTACCTGGAATGCGGACCGTGGTCTTATTTATCAGTTACTTCGCATTTTGGTCCTGTTCGTAAGCTATGCGTTTGCACATATTTGCACCAGTGACGTGCAGACAGAAGAAAAGCACTATAAGCACGTGACACTGAAACCTACAAGTTTTTTCCCCTTAAGATATTCTGCGAAAAAAAAAGTGCTTTATTCAATTACCTGTTATTGTGAGTCTTAGATTGTCGAACTTACGAACTGAATAAACGCACATAAGTTTTTTTTATATTTGTGTAGACTCTCATCTTTGAGCAGTGGGAGGAGTGACTTTTTCAAAGATAGTACAAGTTTATAATAAAAAAGTATCTAGATGCAAAGCAAACACAAAAAGTGTGACGATAAATTCAAAATACTTTGTTATATGTTTGGCGCCTCGGGTGTTTTAACCATGTCTTCCTTCTGTTCATGTCTTTGTCGTGCCAATCAGGGCATCCTCATTTAAGTTTCAGACTTTGTAGAAAAGTGCGCCACCTAGTAACTCTCTCTGGCTATGCGCCCTTTGTGAGCAAGCCACATTCCCACCATGTTTGGTATCTAAGAGCGTTCCACCAGATATCAGACACTTCAAGTTTTTTCACGACACATCGTCTCACTGTACAGTTGTCACTCCTCAGCGAGCGACAAAGAAATTCATGTCCCTGACAATGGGTAAGCAGTCTTCGGCTCGACAGATTTATTGACTTTATTAGCTTTTTTTCTAGACACAAAGAAGTCTTCACATCACCTTTGCATTCTCTGTACGTGAATTAGAAGTGCTAAGCTTCCAGTCGCGTCACCGTTTGTAGGTCATGGGTTCGAGGCTTTAGCCATTATATCCCAGTTTATATGCATATAGGGGGATAATCAATCTGAACAGTGGAAGCGACTCAGACAGGCTGGCCGACGTTTCAATGGGAGGATCTGTATTTGTGAAAGACCTATCTTTGCCTTAGACAAAGATAGGCTCTCCTAACAAAACATCGACCAGCCTTCCGAGCCAATTCCACTGTTCACCCTAATTATTTCACAAAGTGTTTCCATCTCTCGGCTCCCATATTGATTTTGAATTTATATTCATATGTATTTTATACAGAGAACCTTCTTTCCCACGGAAACTTTCTATAACATTTAGTTTTGAAAATCATCCTAACGCTAAAAGGCTTCACACCTGCAATGCTCGAACAGTGCTTTGTCGGCAATTTTCCGCTTATTTAATTCTTATGTTACCCTAAACGTTGCTTGTATTCCCTAAACTTCCCTCGTATTCCACTAATACACTGTTTTTTTTAATTTTCTTCACCCAGAGGACCATTTTCAAGTTTACAAATTTAATGTTTGTATCAATCATAAAATCTTTTACCTTCGAGAAACATAACGAACAGATAGTGTTTCAATTATAATATGCCGCGCGATATTGCTTCAACCGCTTTGTTCCCTCAGCATTTCGCTTTTTTCGTGGGATCGAAACAATGCGTGTGGTCCCATTGGTCACCGTCGAAAGCATCGTATTAGTTGAGTAAAGTATCCGCATCACAAGTTTTTGTTCTCGTTTTGTGTCCTTGTTATTTTTGTTGTTTCTTTCGATTGCATTTACGACTGTTTCCAGGTGACGTTGCTTTTTGTTATCTTCGACATCATCAAAACCGGTTTTGTAAGGTGACGCACTACAGAAGTATTGTGGTGGTGTGCTTTGAAAAAATATTTGCGCATAAGAATCCCAAGTCCAAGACTCTGCCATGTATAAAGCACGATTATTTACGAAAAGCACTGGTTGAAAGTAAATGATAGCACATACGAGATCGTTGTATGAACACATCCTCCTGATCGCACAAGCATAGTTTGGACAGTGCAACTCCCACACAGCATGGGAGAAAGCTTGCAGTGTCTGTAAAAAAAGGATTTATAAGACGAAGCATGATACGAATACAAAGATATTATCACAGGTTGTACAAGCTTATCAAGTGTATACACACGTTCACAAGAAAATAGCGGCTCCTACGCGATGACTAAACCGAACTCATAATTCAAAATGTGTTGAGAGGCAGCAGCAGCACACAATGTGTGGTCCGTGGGGCCGACGTGTGAAACATTGCAACATAATTGTTTCACTGCCATATAGGCTGCTGAAGTCTTCTAGGGTATGCCTAAGGGGAAGAGTACGTGAATCGCTTTCGTTTATTTTTATGTTCATTTGATAACTTTGGCCACTTTCGTTTGGCTGAATTAAACTGCAAAGCTCTTTCAATAGCAATTCACAACACCACTAAACCAAAACACGGTATAATGACAGCAGAATTGAGTAAATTGTAACTGCAAAAATATATGCAACTTGACATAGTGTCGATTGTTCTTTGGTGTGGTTTTTAACAGAAAAGCAGATATTCATAAGTCACAGGTTATGATGATCACTTGAGGCTTCGATAGTTAACGTGGTATAATTAATAATGGTCCAGGACAAGAAAGACTTCACGAGAAGATTGCTACGTGCAACGCAACGTTCAAGAACGTAACGATGTGTATGTCTAGTGGGTATTCAAATTTGGTGCCCAACAGAAGTGTCTGTCGAAATTTTAACTTTACGAAAATGAGAGTATATAAATCTCATCCTTGCAATTAGTTTCCAGTATTGTGGCGTAGCCATGTTGCTAGTTTCGTAAGCGTTGTTGGTGAATCATAAGCTCATGATTTTTTTTTTGCTAAGTTAGATGCTATTCGTGAACTTTATTTCGCGTCGGTATCAAATGCTCTTCTCACCGTAATTCCTTTGATATGGAAAAGCATACACTTTTTTCTGAACACTCTTCATCGCATATAAAAGTCTTTGTGTGCGTTTTCTTGTATTTCTAAACAATAAGGACGCTTTGCTGCGCAAAACAGTTTTGAACAAGTTCTATTGTTCCCGCACTGACAAAACGTCTTTGTCATCAAGAGCTTTCAGAACGTATAATATTGGCAGTAACGACTTTGTTGCTCGTCTGCCGAACCTGCTGGGCTTCGACCACTTTCTTTTGTGACCGCAATTATTCTTTTGAGATACACTCAGATTTATGCATGTCCTCGCCCGCAAGCCCGGAAAGACCAAAAACAGCCTGCAACACTTTTTTGCTTGACAACAGTTTGTGTCAACCTGCATGGCAATATCGAGCAGGAGCTTGGACTCCGAAAAAGCTCAAGAATGATGGTGTTCTATTTTAAGCAAACAGACGGGCTAGCGATCTAAAGCAGAGTGATGTCGTGAAGCAATACTCACCCGTCGTGAAATGCGGCTCGTTATACAATTAAGCTCCTTGACCAGCTGCCAGTAAGGTTTGCCTGCGACACCCAAGAACAAAACAAAAAATACATACATTGTTGTAATGACAATACTGCGGCGGCAGAATGCTGCGCTAATTTTTAAGCATCATTCTCTGGCTCGATGTATACTCGTGCTACATATCCAGGGTATAAGTAAGTGGTTTAAATTGCCGAAACTAATTTCACAATTTTACATGACTCCATGAGGAACGACTGGGCGTATTTTGTTTGTTTGTTTTATATGCGTCATGGTTAGGGAAGAGGCGAGGTAGATATTCATGAGGATGAAACAGTATGGGCTGATATTTACTTCTACACGAACATACTTAAACTACAAAGTCTGCTAAAGAAAATGAATTGCGTCATTGGTAATGGGTCATTGGTTGGGCCACTCAACATGTTTTATACAGTAAAATACTGTACTTGTAGACAAGTTATTTCACTGTAAATTCGCCTGCTTTTATAAAATAACAAGGAACAATAATTGATTTTTTTAATTGTTTCCACTTACATTCCGCCATTTATCATATGATACTGGGGTACAAAGTAGTTTCGTACTACGTAAGTGTAGAAGTAACTATAGTATTTTTTATGTTGGAGTATAATGAGGCAAAGTCTTTGAATATCTCATTTTATGACCGTCTGAACACTGTATTTCTTTCTGTCATCCGGAAAAGCATTCCGCACTGATCTGTGCTTTGATGTCTTCATAGATGGTGTTATTGTATTCATATAGCAGTGCTGTTGGTGATTGGTTAGGATTTATATGTCTCTTGTACAAGTTTTATTTATTTTGTTATTTTTTGTAAATTCACAGCGAATACCTTTCTTTCTAGTACTGATCAACTGTTTTGTGCCTATTGCTGACATTTATGGATGCCGACGTCTGTCAAATGGCGTAAAACAGGCTGTTTTTTTCTCTCCGTATTCAGTTCGCTTACTCGAACTGAAATAAAGGTTTGACCGATCTCACTAGAGCGCGTCCTGCCAACAAATTTGTGGGATACGCATCACTGCTGACATGCCAATTTACATTCAGAGAGGCTCTTTTGTTTATATATTACGTTGAACTATGCTCAGGTCGAGATATAAAAAATTGGCGTGACTGATATTATCATGCGGTGCGCTTGTCGAAGGAAATTCCTTTACCCATGGGTAGAAAGATGTGAACTGGCTTTAAAACAATATGTTGAAGGCAACGTGTACAAGATTTTAGCTAGATCCTTTCCAAAAAAGCATGCAATGCTTATAAAAATGCGCCGCTTTGCATCCACATATGGCGCTACAGGTCTGTTGGTGCAATAAAAAAAGGTGATGCACCCATGCAGTAGATAAAACCTTTAAAGTACTTATACTGACAAAATGTTTTTTTTCTTCGCTTTCATCCATGCTGCTTAAAGGTGAATAGGCAGGTGCGGTTTGGAACCTACGGAAAACCCTGTAATTATGTAGTTTATTCAGTTGAAAAATACGTGCCAATAAGATCCACGGCAAGCTAGACGTTGCGCTTGGATGAAATTTAAGCAGTTGTCACACGCGCAACAAGGGGGCTAAGATGCTTTTCCGCGGCGCATCATACAAAAGGGTAACATTTATCGACACCAGGCGTCTATAGCTTTCAAAGTGAGACTGGCTCTTTACAAATGAAAGCGTTAAGTGCAGTGTCGATTTCGGATATGGAGAGTACGAAGCAGATATGTGCATGCAAGGAAACACGCGTTTTTTGTTGTTGTTTTCTGCCTAGTATAGTATGTTTTGCCATCTCTTCTTCTACCTTGAAAGCACAACGCATCTAAGCATGACACACCAAATAAAAAAAGACCTCAAATACTGAAAATAAATCGCGAAGCGCCTTCCATGCGCTGTTTAATACGTATTCAATATGTAAACATCTTAATAATACGCGAGGCCGGATAACATTTTCGAACCAGGTGATCAACAACACAATAGCGTGCAGTTTGAAATTAGCCCAGATTCCACGCCATTACACGCCATACTTAAAGTAGCGCTGCTAAGGTGTATATGCACAACCACGTAACATACCGCAAAGTTGCTGATGATGGGCCGAAGACGCAGTCACGAAGATGACCACGAGAAAACAGATGGCTAATACAGGTTTCATATCGAGTGATGAGCAAGGGAGCTTGCAAGGATGACAGTGACACAAAACTTGTTTTCATAATGCTTTATATACTCCGTGTTGTCACGTGGTCGGCTCAACAACGAAACGACAGTAAAGTAGGGCGTAGAACAAAAGACCTATTATGGATATTTACCGAGAAATAAGTATGGATATAACTACACCAACTGTCCTCTTCTATCCTCCTGTGCGCACACAAAAAAGACTACGCTCAACCGCCGCAGTCCATTGAGTTGCTCGGCTTCTGAAACCCACTGCTAAAAAGATGACATTGATTTGGATTTATGAGCGCACATTCTTGGGCTATATGCTACTTATTCATCATTACGTTATTGCGCACTACCTAAAAGATGAATACTTGGGAGATGAATGGCTAGACGGACACGAGTGCCAACCTTCAACTGAGTTTCTTGGACAGACGTGACGCTTTTATGCAACCACAAACAAATAATATAAAAAATATTACATAAATAATAAACAGTAAATTCTGATAACCATTCATGCCGATGACTTGATTTGATATGTGGAATTTACCGTCCCAAAATCACCATGTGATTATGAGAGACGTCGTAGAGGGGGGCTCCGGAAATTTTGACCACTTGGGGGTTTTTAACGTGCACCCAAATCGGAACACACGGGCCTAGAGCACTTCCACCTCCACCGAAAATGCAGCCGCGGCAACCAGGATTCAATCCCGCAACCTGCGGGTCAGCAGCCGAGCCACTAGACCGCCAGACCACTGAGGCGGGGCCGCTCACGCCGAGGTATCCGGAATATATCACTACGTGATTGGCTAACTCTCTACGGCAAGCAGTCGAGAAATCCCCCAAGAAGCACGTCTAGGAAAAACTTCAGAACTAAAATGAAAAATTTTGTAGGACCACCGTGACACCGTATACTTATGCGACATCTCACATGGTATTTAAAAGAATGGGGGTGTGTGACGGAGTGCAAGTACTTTTTACAGCACCGCGCAAGTTCTCGTCACTTTTCAACGCAGGAAATGAAAATGGGACGGGAACAAGTGCTTGCACATATAACCACTGAAACAAAGTCGTGAATCTTCTTGAATAAATGTTGAACGTGGTTCCATTCAGATGCGGAAAGAAATGCGTTGGCCAGATGGGCAGGTGCCTTAAATAAAGACTGCGGGAGAACAAAACAACAATGTGAATAAGTCGGTGCAAGGCCACCTAGGCTTGCATTGTAGAGATTGTGGATGCCTGCCGATCGAGTGTGAAACCAAGTTCGGCTGGGACATAACCTCCCGAAATCATCATATATAAGAATAATAAGCGCCGTAGTGGAGTGCTCCGAAAAATTTGGACCACCAGGGCTTCTTTTTTAACGTGCACCTCATCTAAGCACACTTCAGCAAAGTTGGTACATTTGTATTACTACGTGATTTTCAGTTACGTAATCAGTTACGTGTTTTGTGATTTCCAGTCACGTTATATATACTTGGCCTTTATAATTACTTCATTCCGCACCAACGTGCGCAACGGGCGAGTGATGCAGGAGATAAAGACGTGGACGAAGCAGACGCGTACTTCTTCGTGATGGCGATAACTCCTGTTCGCTTCGCACTACGCAAAGCAAAGTCTAAAGAGCTGCGCTCCTAAAATCTGTGCTTTCAAGCATGCGAAATGTCCACCTTGGTGGTACAGTTGCTACGGTGCTTGCTTACTGATCTAGAAGTCACGGGTTGAACTCACCCACGGCGATCGCGTTTCTACGGAGAGGAAACACAATCGCTAATACCACATGGTCAAAATTAGCCGACCCATCTTCTGTGGCGTACCTCATAATAAATTTATTGTTTTGGCTCTCGAAACCTCAGACAATAGTTTTTGAGCATTTGCAAATGTGGTTCCGCTAGCCTTCAATCTATTCAACCATCCTCTGTCCACGCACGTATATGAGTGTTTACATTTCTTATGTTCTTGCGAATATTAAGCTTGTAGCAAATAAACCATTATTTGAAAGTATTGTTAATATAACCGGAGGCCATCTTTTCGGGCCATGCCAACGAAAGTTTGCCTGAAATTGTGTGTTAACCATGGTCAACTGCACATCGCATTAGAACCGCTCATTAGTCGAATGCTCTATCATCAACTGAATTCGAAACAGTAAACCTTCAATAAAAATGGGTTACTCACCCATTATATTACTATTTTTGTTGCACTGCATGAATGACTCCGATCATTTTTTGCGTATACAACCAATAATAATGGCCTAACCAATAGATTTGTCGGTTCAATACTGTGTGGTATGCCACCATTGCGTTAGTGATATCTTACATCTCTTCAATTAACACGTAAGTGTTTGCGATGAGCCCTGTTTAACAATGTATTTTATTTTCCTTTTAAATTACTGAAGTGACACAGAAAGATTCAAGGAGCGTGAAGACTACAAAACCTGTACTACGCGTGTATCAATGATAGCGGAAACTATCATCGAACATAGCAAAAAGTGTCATCCTAAAGAAACCAACTCTTACGAACCGCAGAAGTTTTTGTCAGTGCGGAGACTATCAGATAGTCATAATATTGATACTAGTAAATCAAATGTGCAACGCGACGACACGCAAGTGAGAACTAAATGCTAAATTTTGCATAACCGTCCCCATAGATGCTTACCATATGAGTATGATATCATTCCCAAAACTACCATACGATTATGAGAGACGTCATAATAGAGGGCCCCGAAAATTTAGACCACCTGTGGTTCCCTAACATGCACCCAAAGGCTGAGCACACGGGCCTACAGTATTTCCACCTCCATAGAAAATGCATCCGCTGGAGCCGGGATTTATCCTGCGTCCTGCGGGTCAGCAGCCGAGTACCTTCGCCACTAGACCACCGCGGTAGGGCCCTCTGGGCACCCTAGTTTTGTCGTAACGTTCTCAGAATATTGCATGCGATGCCCATGCATTCCATAGTATGGTTTCAGGCATACAGCGTGTGCTTAAGTGTAGTACCGATTGTGCCTGGTGAACGAACAGTCTCAGTCTGCTTAGCGGGCTAGACTATATGCGCACAAACATTGCCGTTTTTCTTTCGAGGCATTTCGCGGAAACGTATATGACATACCTGACGTTGCCTACATGCTTCACATACACGGCGATTTGCCTTAAACCAGGCGACAGGCGATTTTGTGCCACAAACAGTTTTACCGTATATACAGTCTGTATTGTATTACCAAGAGAAGATTCACATGGCTTTGTTTCAACCTGCGATGCTTCTACACAAGCATGATCCTGGGTTCGATGCTTCTCGCTTTGAGGTGCAATCACCGAAGAATAATGATGAAATTCAATTACAAAAACTTGAATACACAACAGTTTACGGGTACTCTTGGGAGCCTGCATCGTGGTGTGGAAAATATAGAGAATCACGAAGAATACTTCTTTGTTCAAAAAGCCTATAGGCTGCAGTAAAGGTCCATCTCGAAGCTCATGCCTCCTCGATCTAGCATGTTTACAACAGACCTTAAAGCGAAGTTGATTCATGATTGACACGTGGGGTGTAACGTCCCAAAACCCGCCGTAGTGAAGGGTTCTGGAAATTTTCCACCACCTGGGGCTGTTTAACGTACACTCAAATCTGAGCCCACGGGGGGCCTACAGCATTTTCGCCTCCATCTAAAATGCAGCTAGTGGCAGCTGGGACTCGATACCGCGACCTGCACAGTCAGCAGCGAAATACCTTAGCCACTAGACCACAGCGGCGGGGCTTAAAGATATTGTTGAAAGGTACTGAAATTAGGCGTGCTAGGTGGATAGCCCCAAGAATCATTGCAATTGAAAGAGTATTCGTTCCTGTTAAAAGCTTGCGTGTGATGATAGTAATATGCGTGTTGGTGCTGTTTGTATGATTGAAGCATTCTTTGGATAATTTGTGGAAGAGGGTGTGTCAAAAAGTTTTGGTGCTTCCTTGTTGAGTTTTCAAGTTTACGTTAGGTATTCGTTTCAATGCCTTGGGGTTCAATTTTGGGGCTGTTTTTTCACTGAGAAGCTGAAGCAGTGGCATCAGTTTGCAACCTGTAATGGGCTCTTTTGCTTTCAAATTGGCCTTGAACCTTTTTGAATTCATACATGCAGAAGAAGATGAGGGTACGTTCACTGGCTTCCATCAAAAATGAACAAGTCCAACATGTACCGAAGCCTGCACAATTAAGACGAGCGATGCCTCTGTCCATTGAACTATCCCTATTCCAAACACCTTTGGCACCTAACTTCAAAGAACGGCCCATACACGACCCGATCATGAAATAATAGCTCCTATTTCTGGTTTCGCTCTAAACAGATATGTAGTCTCACAGCATCAGTGTATGCCTTTGTAGGAAAGTAATGAAGAGTAAATATCGAGGTCACCCTACTTAGCGCTACCGGTGTTCTTGTCAACCGTTCATGCAATAAGTGCTTCTCCTGAACTTGTCTCACGTGCAGCGCACAAATGCTTGCTTTTTTTTTCATATGTGTACACGCGACTACAGCGAAACGCTGAAACTTCCCTTTGTTTGCACAGCATTGTTATCGCCCACAACGACCTTTGCTGTCGTACAAGAAAGAGATAAGAAAAGTAGGTAAGTTTCGTTGTTCAAACTAGGGCAAAGTATTCAGTCATGCACGTGCTCCTTCTCTGTTCTCTTGTTGCAATTGCACTATTCTGCCGTCAGTCACAACTGACACGGCATATTGTTTTCGAAATTTGTAAAAGCTACCTGTACATGGAGAACAGCACTTTTTTTTCTTTGTGACAAACAGAGAACGGTTGGTTGGAGAATAGTTTTCGTCGGTTGCTGGTCAGCGTAGTACCCGAGCGAGCTGAAGATTTCTCTATTTCTGCAGATGGTAGCATAATGAAGATGGTAGGACAAGACAAATATCAATAATCTACACAAAACCACTTATCTGGCTCTGCTGAGCAATTTCAAGGACAAATAGCACGAAGAGAAAAAAGGCATGTAAATAAAAATATTCTACTTACACCTGTGGGAAGGAACTGATTTGTTA